TCAGAAGATTGGACGTCGGGCCGGTGGATCGGTCGACGTATCGATAGAAGGCTTCGGGCCGTGGACTCGGGCATCGGGCCAAGAAGAGTGGGTATTGTGCCAAGGATATCGGAGTTGTGGAGTCAACTGACCGATTGGGTAATAAACCGCAGGAGAGGACGGTGCACCGAAGAATCAAACGAAGCGTCGAGGGACCAATGACATGCCAGACAACTTAGTTAATTGCTTAGGATTAATTGTCTCGATCAAAGTTTTGTTTTAGATATGCAGGATTAACTACAATGGAAGTAAGACATGCAGTAGGAGTTGCGCCAGAGTCAAGACTATGATCATGTTGGGAGTTCGAGAGTTCAACGGAAGTCCGAACGGTCATCAAAGGTTCTACGGGAACAAATCCGAGAAGTCCAGGAGCTTGCCAAAAGAAGCTCATCGGAACTCGCCAAGTGGATCATCGCAAGTCTAGGAGTTTACCGGAAGTCCGTAGGAGCATCACCGAGGGTTCATCGGATGATCGATGGAAGTTCGCCGGAAGAAGCGATTGACGCACCGGAGCAAGTTACAGTAAATGTCTCAAGAAATATCGTAGTTAGCATGATAATTAAGTTAGAAATGGGAGATGATCCCATTAAATTAATCTTGGGGCAATTGGGCCCTTGACATACCCAAATTGGGCCGAATGGATTAGCCCGTTCGGACCCAGATTTCTTGGCCAACGGTGGCACCGCCTGGGCTCAATCTCCGAGCTAGGCTGGGTGGTGCAACCGCCCCTGACAGGCAGTGGAACCGCCTGAGCTCGGTCTCCGAGCTCTGCCAAGTGGTGCAACCGCCCCGGTCAGGCGGTGGCACCGCTTGGGCTCAGTCTCCGAGCGAGACTGGGCGTTGCAACCGCCCAGAGGCTCAGTCTCCGAGCTCTGCCAAGCGATGCAACTGCCCCTGATAGAAGGTGGCACTGCCTAGAGGCTCAGTCTCCGAGCTCTACCAGGCGGTGCAATCGCCCCAATCAGGCGGTGCAATCGCCCCAATCAGGCGGTGCAACCGCCAGACCCCGAAATTCCGAGAGATGACAATTTTGAGCTCGGAATTCAAACTGGTTAGGAGCCTATAAATATCCCACCCTTTCAGCAATGAAAAGGTAACTAAAAGCACCAAAAGCTTGATCTTACTCTGTGATTTTAGAGCTCAAAAGTGTTGTAAAGGCTAGAAGTTCTCCTCCCTCTTTTCTTCCAAGTTTTGATCTTTCAGAGAGGAGAAAAAATTCTGTAAGGGTTGTCTCCTAAGCCTATCAAAAGGAGTGAAACTATAAAAAGGTGGTTGGCCTTCGCCTATTGATTGAAGGCCTCTAGTGGACGTCGGTGACCTCGTCGGTGGAGGAAGCCAAAAGTGGATGTAGGTCAAGATTGACCGAACCACTCTAAATCTCGGTTTGCATTTACTTTGAGTATCTTATCTTTATTGCAAACCTCCTCAGTAGCTTACTGCCTTTGCTCATTTATGAACGTGTTTCATACTTAAGTATTTTCCGAATCGGCGTTAAGACGGAAATTGGTTTCATCGTACGAACATCATATTTCAATTTACGCTTACATTCTGATTTCCATCATAACTGCAAACTGCCTTTATATCTTTGCTTTAACTGTATCTCGCTTGATCATAAGTTAAAGTGATTTACGAATTGACTTTCTTACCAAAATCGTTTTTATCGTATGAACTAGTTTTTAATCATCGAATGTTTTCCGCTGCACTAATTCATCGCCCCCCCTTTTAGTGCTCTTGATCCTAACAGTTTTAAAATGTTGTAAAATTTTTGCTAGCTTGTATGATGTAGAACATGCTATCTTACTACCTTGCATATCTATAACTTGATCGCTTGAATGTTTTAAATATGATGTAACACTTGCTAAATTTTCTAGCTTACAAATTGCATGATGATAAAACTTGATATTATAGTATTTCATGCAATGATTTGTACTTATATCTCAAACACTTGATAGTTGACACTTCTCCTTTTTGTTGATGATAAAGGGGGAGAAGTATGATTATGTTATGCATGATGACGTGTTGCAAATATTTATGATGAAATTTGTAATGACTTGAATTCAGCTTGAATTCAATGTTCTATCAATATGATATGTTGATAGGGGGAGTTTAGTTAAACTCTGGGAGTTAAGGTTAACTCCGTCATCAATTGTTTGTCGTCATAAAAAAGGGAGAGATTATTGAATCTCGGATTTTGATGATGAAACTAATTTATAAGTATTTATGATTTAATCTGTGTTTTGAGTGACGCAGGATGCTTCAATCAGGGAGAGAAAATTAAATTAGGAAGAATCATGTTGGGCTAGAGGAAAATGTGTCAAAAGTTTAGACGTCGGGTCGGAGGATCGATCGATGTATTGACAAAAGGCTTCGGGCCATGGATTCGAGCATTTAGCCAAGAAGAGCGGATATTACGCCAAGGATACGAAGTTAAGGAGGTCAACTAGCCGATTGGACAATAGGCCGCAAGAGAGGACGATGCGCCAAAGAATCGGACGAAGCGTCAATGGACTAATGACATGCCGGATAACATGATTCATGCTTAGTAATAATTGTCTAGATCGAAGTGTATTTTTGTGTGTGTAGGATTAACTACGATAGCAAGGCATAAAGCAAAATGAAGTCCGGGAGTCAAGAACATGATTTCGCTGGGAGTTCGAGAGTTCGTCGGAAGTCCGGACGTTCGTCGGAAGTTCTACCGGAACCAACCAAGAAGCCCAGGAGCTTGCCAAAGAAGCTCATTGGAACTTGCCAAGAAGATCATCGTGAAGTCTAGGAGCTTGCCGGAAGTCCACCGGAACCTTGCTGAGAGATCGTCTGAAGTTTGCCGGAAAGATCGTCGGAAGCTCGCCGAAAGAAATCGAACTTATCTTCCTTAGAATATGTCTTACGAATCGTAGTTAGTACATAATTAGAGTTGGGATTGGGAGGTAATCCCATTAACTCTGTTAGGGGCCAACTAGGTCCGAAGTTGGATTGATTTGGGCCAGATTCAAGGCCTAACCAAGGTGCTAAAACCTTGGCTGGTGGTGGCACCGTCTGGGGAACAGCACTCCAGGATTCTTGGGCAATGGTACCGCCCAAGCGGTGGTGGTACCGTCCAGTACCAGATCCTGCGGCGGTAGTACCACCTAGGAACGATGGTGGTACCACCAGTACCCAGAAAACCTGGGATAAGACCGTTTTAGGCTCCAAATTTGAATCAAATTAAAACCTATAATACCCCTCTCATCCTTGGATAACATACACAAGCACAGAGAATTTAAAGAGAAAAAAATATTGTTATAATCTCTTGTGAGAATCCTCCTCTTCTAGTCTAAGTGTTAGAATAGTTTGAGAGATGAGTGAGTGCTTGTAAGGGTTATCTCCTAAACCTAGTAAAAGGAGAAGAAGGGTGTAAGGAGGAGGTTGATCTTCGTCTATTAAAGAAAGATCGATAGTGGATGCCAGTGGTCTCGACGGAAAAGGAATCGGTGAAGTGGATGTAGGTCACGACGACCGAACCACTCTAAAATCTGGTTTGCATTTACTTCTTGCTATTTATCTTTATTACAAATTGAATTCCTCATTCACTATGTTTCTGCACAATTTCAAGTTAACATTTTTACGAAACTAGTTTTATCGCAACGAAGTTTTTAAATCAACCTTATTTTACCACTGCACTAATTCATTCCTCTTTTAGTACCGACCCCGTTCCTAACAGAAAGATCTTCTTTGTTCAAGGCTCTAGCAAGAGCCATATCATCCACCTATGTTAGAAGCTTTTTGATGTCTTCTTCTCTTGTAAGGATAAGTCACCGTAAGTTAATGTTGACCAAGGGGCAGAGGGGAAAGATCTAACTAAGCCTAAGAGAACTTGTAGTGTGAAGGCTCTTAGAAAAACTTAATGAATATTCTTTAACAGCTAAATAGGGAATAATAAATATATCTTTCATATTTTTTTATGATGCGTTGAAGGAATTGTGACAGATATTAAAATTTTAAATATCAGTATTCTTTTTATTTTTTTCTTCCTCTGTTATCTTTTCTCTATGGGTTATTGGATTATTGAAGCTTACGTGATATTTTCCAACCATTTCCGTATTAGATAGATAGTCAAGTGTGCATGTAAGTCCCCACTTTAAGCCAACGGCCTAAAGTTTATATTAATGTCGAGCTTGCTCATTTAGAATCAATTATCACTTAGCTACATTGTAAGCATGCAGTAGATATTTTTGGGCCTTGTTTGTACATCCCACATGCTCTTTGTTGTCCTTATCATTTAGTTTACTGCCAACTATTAGTCCAACTTCAAGCTCCAAGAATCTTCATGCACATTTCGGAAGTCAACCATCTTCATTGGCAGCCATTTGAAGAACTTGATTTCTGTATTGACCAAACCAGTCCACAACTTGCTCAAATGGTCACTAAAAGCACTTTAAAGTAATGATTTAAGCTGATCTCCTGAAGTTTGCCGTACGATCTTGACCCATATTAAATTATAAAACAACAAAATAATAACATAACATATAATTTTCCAGTATAAATTTTGGATGGAGCTCACATTTGGACACTCTTAAAGCTGTTTTACTGAGTTTTTGGGGATACTAAGACCTTTGAACTTATTATACATAATTGAAACTTGATCCCATTGTTTTAGCATCAATAATATTCTAAATAATTGGATTAAAATTTAGGTATAGGTCTGAAGCTCCACTTGAGTAGTGAGGCATGCACAAGTTGAACTTTTAATAAAGCAGGAAGCAAACCTAACAAAAAAAGGTGAGCTTGTCTGCAAATGCCACTGTGATCCACATCATCCTGTTGGAATGTTGTGTACAATGTCAAAGGTCCACAAATAGATTATAAAGTTCATTTTTATATTTTCTAATATATTTTAAAGATTAGAATATTTCTTCCTCCATTTAAAAGCCCACCCACAGCCAGCAAGCAAAGCAAGTCGAAGTTCACAAGAAGAAGAAGAAGAAGAAGAAGAAGAATAAGAAGAAGAAGAAGAGGTGGAGGAGGAAAAGAATACAGAAAGAGATGAAGCTGGTGTGGTGTCCTGAGGCCGCCTCCAAGGCCTTCGTCGACGCCGTGAAGGCCCTCGCAGACTGCGATCTTGAGGACGTCAGCGTAGCCGAGCTCGTCTCTGCCCTGACGGGAGGTTGGAAAGCTCAGTTGATCGTGGAGGCATGGGCCCACGACGCCAGCGCTGCCATCGGCATCGCCCTCCGAGCTGCCGTGGGGCATGCGCGAGGCCGCCACGTGTGCGTCGTCCCTGACAAGCAGTCCGCGACGAAGTACGTCGACGCCATGCGGCGAGCGGGAGCCCCGGTGGAGTCGGAGTCGGTGATGACAGGGGAGGCGGAGGAGGTGATGAGGGAGCTGGAGGGGTTGGACCTGATGGTGGTGGATTGCCGGCGGAGGGACGCTGGGAGGATACTGAGGGCAGCGAGGCCGGGGCCGAGGGGGATGGTCGTCGTGTGCAAGGGATCGGGGCGACGGCAGGACGGCGGGGCCGCCGGGGTGTTTGGGGCGGGGACGAGGGTGGTGAGGTCGACGTACCTGGCGATAGGGACCGGCGTGGAGGTGGTTCACGTCGGCGTCGGGAAGGGGCCGAGCTTGGGACGCGGCAGAGCCCGGTGGATCAGGCACGTTGATCGTTGCACCAAGGAGGAGCACGTGTTCCGGCGGAGGTGATGGTCAAGTTTTGGCGACTTTTTTTTTTTTGTTTGTTTATGTTCACTCTTTCAGTATACGTGTAACACATAAATTTGTTATTCACAAGCTAGTAAAAGTATCATATTTATCCACATGACGCTTCATAATGATGGCACTGTCAATATGCACAACTATTATATTACAACAATAATAATAAAATTATAAATTTTAACTATTTGAGATGATTATATAGATCTCTTGTTATCATTCAAAATGTATATAAAATTATTTGGTTAAAATATATATTCATGAGATTTGTATATTGATTGTTTAATGTAATCCTTCGTTTTTTTTCATTTGGACTGGGATCCACGTTGCTAGTATTTTTCTCTTTATACTAGAAACTTATTTTTTTATTTATTAAAATTTTATTTAAAGAAAGTTGGGATATATGCTAATGCCTCTTCCCCTCCCTTGTAAAAAAATCGATGGTTATAATTTAATATAAGAAATTTTCTAAATGTGACAAAGAAACATATTAATTATAATATAATTTATATATACTGATGGATTATTTACATCAAATTAAAAAAATATTATTATGGATTTTGAAGAAAGTTATGCACTAGTGAAACGTATACACTAATAAACTATGAAATGTAATCATAGAGTATGTATGAGATGGTAAACTTAATTACTATTTATACTGTTGAATGATCAAACCACTTGATATGTGTTTATGATTTAATCTACGTTTGAGTGATGTAGGATACTTCAATCAGGATCAAACAATTAAAGCAGGAAAATCATGTTGCGTCGGAAGAACATGTCAGAAGATTGGACGTCGGACTAGTGGATCGGTCGACGTATCGATAGAAGGCTTCGAGCGGTGGATTCGGGCATCGGGCCAAGAAGAGCAGAGATTGTGCCAAGGATATTGGAGTTGCGGAGTCAACTGGCCGATTGGGCAATAGGCCGCAAGAGAGGACGATGTGCCAAAGAATCGGACGAAGCGTCGAGGGACCAATGACATGCCGGACAACTTGATTAATTGCTTAAGATTAGTTGTCTCGATCGAAGTTTTGTTTTAAGTGTGCAGGATTAACTACGATAGCTTGAAGACATAAAGCAAGTCTACCGGAGTCAAGTTCGATGGGTGTTCGAGAGTCTGCCGAAAGTCTGAAGAATCGTTGGAAGTGCTGCCGAAACCAACCGAGAAGGAATTGGGGACTTGCCGAAGTTTTCGGAAGTCCGTCGGAAAGATCGTCGGAGGTTCGCGGAGATCACCAAGAAGCTTCGGCTACATGCCAAAGACTCGTTGAACTCGCCACAAGACCGGGAGCCTACTGGGAGTCCGCCGGAAGAAATCCAAGGGTGTATCGGAAGTCCGCCGGAAGTTCGCCGGAAAGGTCGCTGGAAGGAAACTCAACGTTGCCAGTTAAAAACCTACTTAGGACTATGTCTTAATTTCATTGTTTGCATATAATTAGGGTTAGGATTAAGGGTTAATCCTATAACCCAGTTATGGGCCAATTGGGCCCGAGTTTGGACTAGTTTAGGCCAAGTTTGGAGCCAACCAATGAGCTAAAATAGTCTAGGCGGTGGCACCACCTGACTAGGTGGTGGCACTGCCTAACTAGGTGGTGGCACCGCCCAGAACCCGAAGGATCGGGCGGTGGTACCGTCAAATTGGGTGATGGCACCGCCCATAACTCGAAAGATCGGGCAGTGACACCACCCAACACCTGGCCGGACTGGGCAGTGACACCACCCAAAACCCGAGAGTTCTGGTGGTGGCACCGCTAGTACACTGTCAGTGTCAAACACTAACAAGCGATGGCACCACCACTGACAAGCGGTGGCACCGCCAGCACCGGAAACCCAAAAGTAATTCAAATTTAGAGCCCAAATTTGAATCATCTTGGGGCCTATAAATACCCCTCAATTCTCAGCAGAAAACACAACCTTTGAGAAGTTAGAGATTTAGATAAAGCCTTAACAAAGTCTTTAGCAAGTCTTATTTTCAATAGCTTTAGTGTTCACCTCTCTCTTTCTATTTGAAAATTTGTAAGAGTATGAACCACTTGTAAAAGGTTGTAAGAAGGGTATTTGTCCTTCTCATTCAAAGTGGTTTGCTAGTGGAAGTTGGGAGCCTCATTGAAAAAGGCTTCGCAAGTGGATGTAGGTCATTTTGACCGAACCACTTTAAATTGGTGTGTTCCTTGAATGTGTGAGTATTTACTTTTCTGAAACCATTATTTACATAGCAGCAAGCTTACGGTTTTCATCTTCTCACTTTACTCGAGCTAATTTCTCCAAGTCATTGACAAACTGAAATCTCTACGCATTTATGAAATCGTTTTCAAATTTACAAGTTTTAATCCGCTGCACTAATTCACCCCCCCTCTTAATGCCGCTCCGATCCTAACAATTGGTATCAGAGCGAGGCTCACTCTTATATTTGGTTTAATACCCAAGAGAGATGGCTTACTCTGGCATGCAAGAGGGTCACTCTATTATACGTCCGCCTATGTTTAATAGGTCGGGTTACACGTATTGAAAGACTCGTATGAGGATCTTCGTTATTTCCATGGATTTTGAGCTTTGGAATATTATCGAAAATGGATTTCAAAAATCTTCTCTTCCGATGAGCGAATGGAATGAATCAGAGAAGAAGGTTTTTGCTTTAAACGCAAAGGCTATGAATGCCTTGTTTTGTACACTTGACAAAAATGAATTTAATCATATTTCGATTTGTGATTCGGCTTTTGATATTTGGAGAACTCTTGAGGTCACTCATGAAGGCACTAACCGAGTGAAAGAGTCCAAAATCAACATTCTTGTGCATTCTTACGAACTTTTCCGGATGAAACCAAGTGAGTCCATCGGAGACATGTACACCCGTTTCACGGATGTCATCAATGGACTCAAAGCTCTTGGTAAAGGTTTTTCTAACTTTGAACTAGTAACTAAAATTTTAAGATCCCTTCCAAAGAATTAAGATCCAAAAGTTACAGCCATTCAAGAGGCCAAGGACCTTAAAAAATTTCATCTTGAAGAACTTATTGGGTCTCTAATAACCTACGAAATGACGTGTCATGCTCATGAAGAGCTCGAGAACCCCCTTCCAAAGAACATGAAGGATATGACACTTAAAACACAAGAAGACCACTTGAAAGGAACATCAAGTGATGAGGACAATGATGATGACATTGCACTTTTAACTCAAAATTTTAAAAATTTATAAGAAAGAACAAATTTAAAAATGACACCAGAAACAAATTTGAACATAAAAAAGACCAAGCAATATGCTACGAATGCAAGAAGCTGGGGCACTTCAAAAATGAATGACCCCAAGCCAAGAAGAAGCAACCGAAGAAGAAGAAAGCTTTAAAAGTGACTTGGGACGACTCAAGTGATTTTGAGAACGAAGAAGCTAGCAACAAAGAGGAGGCAAACTTCGCGCTAATGGCTTTAGGAGGAGAGGTATGTGATTTAATTAATGAAGATTTATCTTTTGATGAACTTTCTATTATTTTTCATGAATTATTTGATGAGTGTAGAACTATAAGTAAGAAGTTCAATCTATTAAAGAAAGAGCATGCCTTACTACAAAATAAGCTTGATAGTCTTCAAACTTCTCAATGCACTAAGTGTGAACACTTCGAAGCAATAAAAGATGAGAATTTGCTACTTAAAAAGACCTTAAACAGGTTTAAGGTCGGTAGCAAAGGCTTGGACATGATCCTTGCAAACAAGGGTCACGTCGCAAATAGAAGTGGAATTGGTTTTGTGAGAGGATCTCACTAAAATCCTACCACTTTCATTAAAGGACCCACATTACATGTTTCATCTTATTTGAAATGCAACTTTTGTTGTAAATCTGGACATATTGCTTACAAATGTCCATTTAGGAAAATTAGTCCACATAAGTTGATATGGGTTCCTAAAGAAACTATAAATAATTCAATGATAAATGACAAAATTAGTAGATCAATTATTGAGAAACCCAAAATCAAATGGGTACATAAAAATCATCCTCTTTTGTATACAAACTCACAAGCTAGGAGTAAGAGATTGTATCTTGATAGTGGATGCTTAAGGCACATGACCGGAGATCCATCTCATTTCTCTATGCTCACTATCAAAGAAGAAGGGTATATCACCTTCGGAGACAACAACAAAGGTAAAATCATTGGCAAGGGAACCATAGGTAACAAATCAAGTTTTTCAATTGATGATGTGTTGCTAGTTGATGGATTGAAACATAATCTCTTAAGCATTAGTCAATTATGCGATAAAGGTTACATCGTTAGATTTGAATCTAATGTGTGCATCATTGAAAAACTTAACAATAACATATCAATGATTGCCTTAAAACAAAATAATGTCTACACCATCAACCTCAAGGAACTTAATAATGAAATGTGCTTTTCCATTTTAAATGATAATGCTTGGCTTTGGCATAGGAGATTAGGCCATGCAAGTATAAAACTAATATCTAAGATTTCATCTAGAGAGTTAGTACGAGGGATTCCCAATATAAAGTTTGTTAAGGACAAAGTGTGTGATGCTTGGCAACTAGGAAAACAAATAAAAACTAGTTTCAACCCAAAAAATTAAATTAGCACTACTAGACCATTGCAATTGATCCATTTAGACTTATTTGGACCAATTGACACAACAAGTCTAAGAGGAAGCAAATATGCCTTCGTAATTGTAGATGACTATAGTAGATACACTTGGACCTATTTCTTAGCTCACAAAAGTGATTGTTTCAAACGTTTCTCTAAATGTTGTAAACTTACTCAAAACGAAAAAGGCTTTATGATTTCATCAATTCGGAGTGATCACGATGGCAAATTTCAAAACCGTGACTTCCAAAGTTTTTGTGAATCTAATGGATATAATCATAACTTCTCCACTTCGAGAAATCCTCAACAAAACGGGGTAGTTGAAAGAAAAAATAGAAATTTACAAGAAATGGTAAGAACTATGTTAAATGAACATAGTCTACCTAAGTATTTTTGGGCCGAAGCCGTTAATACGGCTTGCTATATCATGAATGGGGTTTTAATAAGACCATCTCTATCAAAAACTCCCTATGAATTATGGAA